GCTCTTTGCATCGACGATTTTCTTCTAGCTTCGTTGAAGAAACATTGACATTAGGTTTTCAGATCGTAGATTTCTGGAAATTCGTCTCACTCTAGAACGCGTTGCTTTCTATTTCTACTTCGGAGCAGCTTCAACATCGGAGCTTTGACGATCCAAGTCTGAAGTTTACTTTAGCTTCGGATACGCGATTCTGACCTATCGGAAATCGTAAGATACTTCGCTAAGATCTTGATCTTGAAAAGTGAAATTGATTTTTCTGTAACCGGAAATTGTGCATAGAGGACGAACTTTCTTTATTTTGTCAACGCGATTTTAGCTTATAGGAAACAAGTACTTGATGAAATTGGATCACAAGTGATACTATATATTTATCTGAATAACGTTTGTTTGATATGTATTGCATGCTGATGATTGATTTTCTCTTCTTAGGCTGCAATTTCACTGTGAGCTGTGAACGCATGGGTTGAAGTGATGGATTTGTTCTAAATGCTATTGGTTTTGTTGAATTGTTGGGAATAAGAATACTGTGGATGATATTATAGTCAAGAAACTATGGAAGATCTTCGGTTACTATCACCGATGAAACAAGGCAAGTCTTCACTGTCAGGGAGGTCTACTCCAAGGGGTTCAGGTTCACCTACATTTAGGAGAGTGCATTCAGGCAGGACTCCACGTAGAGACGGCAAAGGTAGTGGGGGAGGAGCTATTCAGTGGTTCAGAAGTAACCGACTGCTTTATTGGCTACTTTTGATTACTCTTTGGACCTATCTTGGATTTTATGTTCAGTCCAGATGGGCGCATGATGATGATAACAAGGTTGAGTTCTTACGGTTTGGAGGCAAACTGAGAGAAGATGTTTTGCTTGTGGAGCAGAATAAACGAGGGGGTTCAGTTGCTAATGAGGGTTCTCATTCTGTAGTAGATAATACCAATATAGTCCATATAGGTGTAAATAAGAGGATGCATGTAACTTTGGCCAAGAAAGAGGATGGCACATCTCGACGAAGCTTGAGTTCCAGAAGAAGGACTAGAAGAGCTGGTCGTAGGTCGCGCACTAAGATTAGCACTAAGCAGAAGGTGAAGAAAGTGGTGGAGACTCAGGACTTGGATGACCAAGATCAAGAACTTCCAAAGACAAATGTTACCTACAGTAAGCTTTTTGGTCCTTTTGGATCGCTAGAGGATAGAATTCTTGAATGGAGTCCGCAAAAGAGATCAGGAACTTGCGACAGGAAATCAGACTTTAAACGACTTGTTTGGTCAAGGAGATTTGTTCTACTTTTCCATGAACTATCAATGACTGGTGCTCCAATTTCAATGATGGAGTTGGCTTCCGAGCTTTTGAGCTGTGGTGCAACAGTGTATGCAGTAGTTCTGAGCAGAAGGGGTGGATTGATGCAAGAGCTCACCAGGAGAAGGATCAAAGTGGTTGAAGACAAAGGAGAACTCAGCTTCAAAACTGCCATGAAAGCAGATCTTGTCATTGCAGGATCAGCAGTTTGTGCGTCATGGATAGGTAAGGTTCCATAGATGATTTTAAAACTCGAGATTATGACCAAGAAAATTAGGTCTGCTGGTTCTTTGACATCACTATTTGCACGAGCATATATTGACTATCTTGTTTAGAAATGTGTACTATAGCTCATTCATTCTTCAACTATATTACTGGAAGATGCATCTTAGAATATAAATTGTCATGTAGGACTATGCTCACTTTAGATTATTTTTTACTAGTGCAAATCTTATATTGTTGTTGTTCATCAAACTAATGGTTAAAACACATGTTCAATATTCCTTCTCTGCCTCAAGTGTGGATACCCATTATATGATGTTTGTGACAATATCCTGTCTTTTCTCGCAGATCAATACATGGATCACTTTCCAGCTGGTGGAAGTCAAATCGCTTGGTGGGTAATGGAGAACCGACGAGAGTACTTTGAGAGAGCGAAACCTGTGCTTGACCGAGTGAAACTGCTAATTTTTCTATCTGAAGTACAGAGGAAACAATGGTTAACATGGTGTGAAGAGGACCATATAAAGCTTAGGTCTCAGCCGGTTATTGTTCCGCTGTCTGTTAACGATGAGTTGGCTTTTGTAGCTGGTATTTCCAGTTCGCTAAATACTCCAACACTGACCCCGGAGATGATGAAGGAGAAAAGACAAAAACTACGTGAATCAGTTAGAACGGAGTTTGGTTTGACAGATAAGGATATGCTTGTGATGTCTCTTAGCAGCATAAACCCGGGAAAGGGACAACTTCTTCTCCTTGAATCTGCTGCATTGGCACTGGAGAGAGAACAAGAACAAGTAGCTAAAAGTAATCAGTCCAAAATCAAGAACCTCAATGGCATCAGAAAAGAAAAGATTAGTCTTTCTGTCAGACATCGTTTAAGAGGTTCATCACGGAAGATGAAAATCGCGTCTCCTGCTATCGACAATCCACCCGTTCTCTCTGCCACGGGTAAAAGAAAGCTGTTGCTGTCTGGCAACGTAACACGGAAACAAGACCTTAAACTTCTTCTTGGATCAGTTGGGTCCAAGAGCAACAAGGTTTCATACGTTAAGGAGATTCTGAGCTTCTTGTCGAACAACAGAAACTTATCGAACTCGGTTCTGTGGACTCCAGCGACCACTCGTGTTGCTTCATTATACTCTGCAGCAGATTGCTACGTAACAAACTCCCAGGTAATCTTTCTCATCTTGATCCTTTTATGACTACACTCAAAAGTTAAAACAGACACTATCTAATAGTATTTAAAGCGTTCTTTAACAATCGTTTACCTTTCTTCAATTTGTGAAACAGGGAATTGGCGAAACATTCGGGAGAGTGACTATCGAAGCAATGGCTTATGGTCTTCCGGTGAGAAACAAACGACAGATAAATCCGTGTTTTCTTACTCCTGAGAGACAAAAATTTGCATCTTAAGCATTGTTTTTCATGGGGACAGGTGCTTGGAACAGACGCAGGAGGAACAAAAGAGATAGTAGAGCACAATGTTACAGGGCTACTGCATCCTGTGGGGAGGCCAGGTAACAAAGTCTTAGCTCAGAATCTCTTGTTTCTTCTTAGAAACCCATCTACAAGGGTACAACTAGGTAGCAAAGGACGCGAAAAGGTTGAGAAGATGTACATGAAGCAGCACATGTACAAGAGATTTGTGGACGTTCTAGTCAAATGCATGAGACCTTAATAGTGTTTTGTTTTTTCTGTAGTTCTGGTAAGTTGGTGATTCAGGAACAACATATCCCTCCCAATTCTTATTAAATTTCATTGTATTCTTTGGAGTTATTGCAATTTGATGTCTTGCTCTCTTGTAGTTTGGAATCTTTATTCTGAGATGCTATATAACACGTTAAGGCATTAAGCATTATTAATTGTTCACTGGGTTTGGGGTAGTAGTCATCTCAAGTAGTTGATTATGATTGTATGGGGCAGAGTGATAGTTACAAATAGTTTAGTGAACCTTCACTAAGATTCTGATTCGCCATAAGTTTGACTTTGAGTTTCAGTACTAATAATTTAGCTCAAACTATTTAAGAGATCGTTTCTTAGAAGACCAAAAAAATGTGCAGTAACAAAAAAAGTTATAATCGTGTATATTCAACCGTAAAGCTATACGAGATCTAACATCCCATATGGTACACTACAAAATGGTGTGAATCTCTTTGAAATATGGTTTTTTCCCGTCTTTGACCAAATGAACATCCATATGGATACGGTACTACTCCACAACCTTTTGAACAGTGCTACTCCACCAGCAACCTCTTCCTTAGGCTCCTCACCACCACCAGCAACCTCCTCCTTAGGCTCCTCCTCACCACCACCAGCCTCCTCCTCACCAGCACCAACACCAACCAAGCCGTCCACCTCACCAGCACCAACACCAACCAAGTCCAAGTCCAAGCCCTCCTCCTCACCACCACCAGCAGCAGCAGCAGCCAACTCACGAAAGTGGACTAGAGCAATGTGACGACGAGTGGGAAAGGTCATGGGTCCGTCGGACATACGTGTTACCATTGTCAAGAGTCTTGGTAGCATTGTAGATATACACGTTATTGCCATTAACCTTCAAACAAAGAATACACTGTAAGTCTCTAGCATAGAAGCATATATGCATAACCATTGGAATATAAAAGGCTCTTACCCTGTACTTCTCTTGGACAATGTATCTTGAATCAGGACCATGAGCTAGATCCCAGGTTAGATCATCATCTTTGAGCA